CCAATCAAGTTTGCCTAGATTCTAAGCTAACATTCACTAAGTATTTGCTATGTGCAATGTAGTTTCTATTAGTGTCCTAAGAATCAGGTGTCAAAATCATCTTTTCTATTGATGAAATTTACTTTAAGCTTCATTCCACAGAAAACCCAGCACTAGCTTGAGCAGACATGGGTTTATTTTTTTTCTTAACATAAAGTCTGCAGTTAGTACTAACTGCAGACTTTATGTTAACAAAAAAAATAACAATGTTACATGTGACCTGTTTTTTATGGTAAGTTTCCCAGGAACAGATTCTGTGTTAAGGGTTTTTGAACTTGTGATTTATTACTAAGGTAGTGCTTTCAAGAAAAACTAGGGAAATTAGGGCAAGAGAGGGCAATCTATGTAGCCTTTAAGCAAGGAAATAATCTTATGCTAAAGTCCAGAAGAAGTAGCTTCAGTATGAACTCAAGGAGGGAAGTTCTGAGTGAATGCTTGGTAAGGTTGGTGGGAGAAATATACACTCAGGCACTCATGTCTTTCTGTGCAAGAGGGCAAAGCATCATTTATACCATCAAGCCTGTCCTTGTGAGAAGAACTGCAAATGCTAGATATTGAAAGTACACAGAAGATGGTGGTGGTGAAGATGTGTGGTATTCACAGAAATGTCATCAAAGGATCTAGTGTAAATGAATCCAAGGAGACTTGGACAGAGCATCAATACTGTCTGCTATACCAGAGTTATATCTTTCTCTCTGCTATTTTTTAATGTATAGGTCTTTGTTCCCCCTCATCATCACCTCCTGATCAGAAGGTAGTTATTGTACATTCCGTTTCATATCTATGGCCCTGGTAGGAAGATGGGATGCTGAAAAGGGACATATCAGTCAAACATGTCCCTTAAAAAAGTTCTTCTCAAACACTTATCCTGCCTATATTTTACTATCTGGAACTATATAAAATAGTTACCGTAGATATCTGGAATGGGTTGTTTTTAGTTGGGTAAATGACTAACTGGAACAAAATGAAGTTCCACTGGTAAGCAAGTAAGGTAGAGGTGGTGGATATTAGGTAGACAACTACAAGATTTGTTACATATCCATTTTACAGAGAAACAGAAGTTTCATACCTTGTTGAAGACACACCACCTATAAGTGGTAAGCCAAGCCTATGTTTTTAATATAGTGGGCAGTGATTCATGCATTCTATTTATGATAATGTCCTCTAGGATAGGCTAAAAACTGTGATTGGGTGTGGACATGTGTTACTTCTTATTGACACCTCAACAAGAAATAGCTCATTGATTTTGTCTCTACCAGCTGGCTTTCTTTTGTCTCTTCCACCCAATATTTAGATTTAGCTTGAATCTTGACTATTAATGGAATTGGAACAACTGAATTTACCCTTTTTGCTCAAGATCTGTAGAAGAAACCTGCTTAACATGACTTTGGGAATAGACATATAAACAAATCAGGTGGATACTAGGGTGCAGGGGTAGAGAATTCAGTCCTGTTTCTTTCCTTGATGACAGACCCTCACGGATTTCTGTCACCTTGTATGATTATGTACTGCAGAGTTGGAATTTTAATATATACTATATATGTACATTATACAAGTTTCATATGGACAAGGAGGATAGCTTAAACATAGTCTATACTTTCACAATGTTCAGTGTACATGGTATGTAATTAATTAGTTACTAATAGGAGATGAGATTTCTGGTCTGTACAGGTCATAGTATGAGGGAAGAAGGGATTTGGGGACAAGTCTGACCCAATCTCCACTAGACCATCTCATTTGAAGATTTCACTGTTAACCTTGAAATTTCTTATATGAAGCACAAAGATTGAAATTGTTATTTCTGATTTGTTTTGTTCTGTGTAAGTAGAGATTATGAATCCATCATCCTAGACTTAATTCAAGGTGCTGCATTCTAATTAGATTAACAATTTCCTTTCCAAGTGCCCCCTTCAAATTCAACTCTTAATTATTTCCCCCCAATTCTAAATGACTTCACTCATTCAAATGAAATTTTCTTGACCATATTTCAAGTGTTATGGTTTAGATATGAGGAATCCCTCAAAAGGTCATGTGTGAGACAAAACAAGAAAGCTTAGAGGTGAAATGATTGGGTTATGAGGACCTTAACTTAATCAGTGCAATAATCCACTTGAATGGATTAACTGGGTGGCAACTGTGGGCAGATAGGATGTGGCTGAGAAGGTAGGTCACTGGGGGTGTGCCTTAGGGATGTATGTTTTGTCCCTGCTGAGTGGACCTCTCTATCTTCTTCTTTATTGCCATGTCCTAAGAAGCCTTCTTCTGCCACACCCTTTTGCCTTGGTGTTCTGCCTCACCTTGGACTCAGAACAATGGAGTCAGCTGTCTATGAGCTGAGACCTCTGAAACCATAAGCCAAAGTAAACCTTTTTCCTCTTCTAAATTGTTCTTGTTGGGCCTTTTGGTCACAGTGACAAAAAGCTGACTAAAATATCAAGGTATCCAAAAATACATAGAAACTTACAAAATATAAATATGAGAGGAAAAGAAATTTTGACATAATTATCATTTCTGATACAGTTAAATGGACACATTCCGTCTAGTAATGTATACTATGGGCCATCAAAAAAACATGCAAGTAAGTAACAATACCTGGAATATTTTAATTAAATAACATTGATTATGATAATGGTGGAAAATATTTTTAAAAAAGAAAAAACAAAATCAGATAGCTGACTTAAAAGATATCTAAATAAGGAGTCATAAATCTCAGATTAAGTTCTAGTGAAGGTATGTGTTAGCTGTTTGATCTTGGGTAAAAATCATCTAACATTTTTGTGAGGGCTTCTCTACCAGGCACTAAGAAGACAAAAGCAAAAGTCTTACTTGATTTTGAATTAGCAAAAATATCAGTAAATATTTGATTTACTCTAGAAACCAACATTGATAAATTAGGGTGTGCAAATTCACTTAAGAATTTCAGAATATTCACCGGGTGTAATGGCACACGCCTGTAATCCCAGTGGGTCGGAAGCTGAGGCAGGAGGATTGCGAGTTTAAAGCCAGCCTCAGCAACTTATCTGGCCCTAAGCAACTCAGTGAGACCATGTTTATAAATAAAATACGAAAAATGGCTAGGGATGTGACTCAGTGGTTAAGCACCCTTGGGTTCAATCCCCAGAACCAAAAGAAAAAAGAAAAAGAAAAAAAATTAGAATATTGAGTTGTTTTTATGATAAAATCATTATAGTCATGCATTCTTTTAAAAAGTACAGTTTTATTCAGGATTACAAACAGTATAATGGACATATTTAGTTTATAATTATTTTAAGTATATCATACAGATGCACACAATGTTTACTATTTTTGAAGGAAATGATATAGGTTCTTTTATTTTTGTCTCTATAGTAAAGTTTTAACAAATTATGAAACAATGATATATTATTCTACAGTTGCATAATTTTTATACAATGATTCTCAGCCTCTTTTATCTTATACCCATTAGGTTCCAATGAATTAGAAATTTCAAAGTCCACTTTCAGCAAAGGTTACATGTCATCAATTTTCTATTATTATATTTGCCATTAATTATAAGCCATGTCTATGGAAAATTATAATAGAAATTGCTAAAGATTGAAATAAGCAAAAACCATTCATTTACTAGTTCAAAATGTTATTATATGATCATTAATTTTAGTAGCTTAGTAACAGTAAAACACAAAGATGTTCAGTGAACAATTTTGCCATCAGTAGGCAAAAGTTCTACAGTATTAGGTTCCATATGTAAAAATTCTACATTGTAAGGTACACAAAGCAGAATAAAGGTAAGCATGTAGAGTTCGGATGAAATGGAAATGAACGTGGGGGTATTGGTGCCAAAGGATACCTTGGTTAAAATAACTGAAGAAAGGACAGAGTTAAATGAATATTCCATCCGAGCAGAGTCATTGAGAAGCTAAACAACAAAAAGACCTGCTGTGTTTATGGAAAGCAAGGATTAGAAGAAATTTTACCCAAGGTGATGAGCATATCAAAAGTCATAGATCTTGGAAGGTAGGATTCGAAGGACATAGTATGCATAAATGTGAATGGCAGCCAGTTATTGAAATTTTAATGTTAATTTTGTGTCTTTTTTGGGCCTTAGTAAATTAGAGGACTTCTGGTTTCATTATAGTATTTGGATCCCATGCTACTTGAATGCCCTAACCATTCTACTATAACTTAGTATTTTAAGAAAATGTTTCAGTTTGTTAGATATTACCAATAATTTCAATTACATGTGTGAACTGAAATTTGTTTTCTAATGTAGGAAGGCCTTGTTTAAAGTTAACTCTCTCTATAAAAATTATTTCATATTAAATCAGAATTTAAGAAATGAAACAGAGGTAACATTGCTCATTTTATCAACACTGGATTTGTTTTTCTTAAGTTTCAAATTATCCTTTCCTTTATATTACTTGCCTAAGCATGTAGGCATTTGAAGTGCCATAACTCTTCACAAAAAGAGCCAATCTGAGTGTTACCTAGGGCATTTATAAACACACTCAGTGTTTTATTCTAGTGGATAAATAGTAAGTCTATGCAGTATTTATTCTTTTTATTAACAGCTCTAGTGTTTGAATCTATTGTTTGGAATAAGAGAAAACCATGTATCTCTTTAAAATGGATCCCTATTTAAAGAGCAACTTGAGTAATGGACTCTTCTCTAAAGAGATGTAAACTCTAAATGTGGAAATTCTTTCTGGACTGAATCTAGAAAAAAGTAAAGGTTAGCCTATATCTCTTCAAAAAGCAGATCTTTTTACCAAAACCTTGTTTTATAAACTCATAATGTTGTTGAATATATAGTGATACAAAGAAAAAGAAAACAATTGAAGGATTAGAAAAAATATTTGTACACATAGTAAATAAAACATTCCACAGCATTCTAAGCCATTACCCCTAGATATTGCCTGTCTCTTTCACTCTTGTCCTCCAGTGGTATCATTTGTGTTGCCCAAACCAGATCCTGCAGGTCTCTGTTACATTAAGGAGAGCTTAAACATGATATTATCACTAGTCTGATTCTTTCCTTCCACCAGAGCAAGCTGATTATCTTTGACTCCTATATACATTCCACGATTACTCTTACATTCGAATGAAACAAAATCAGAGGATTCCTTATGAAGGACAAAGAAGGCCTGGTCTGGCAATGGAGTTTTACACTTTTGCAGCTGAGGAAACAAGAGAAAAAGCAACCAATACGTGAGTCAAAGGTCCAGAATCAACTTTCCCTTCATATGTTAGAACCTGAAGGGGAATAATAATCTATAACTTGGTATTTCCAGCAAGCCTGCTTACTGAGAAAGGAGGTGGGGCAGATGAGTAGAGGGTAAAGGGTGGGTGGTATGATTTAATTTGATTCACTGATGGATAGCATACTTAGAGAGGCAATATGACTTAGAATGACTGAATCTGAATGCAATAGTTCTGGACTTGTACCCTTGGTTTGTAATATATGCTAAGACTTGGGTATGTTGCTTTTCTCTTAAACTTCAATATTTTAGTCTAGCCAGTTTTCTAGATCAGTTAATTCTCATCTAGATGTATGAATAATATAAATAATTTTTATTTTAAATCACTAAGTTTGGGGGATAGTTTTTTATTCAGTAATAGCTGAAATATAAGTCTATGATGTAATATAATAGCTCCACCATAGATGTAACTGTAAGGATTAGATGAGACAGTACTTAGCAAGTGCTTGGTATTTAATAGCTCAGATGAGTTACTTCTTATTATTGAATAGTTATATATGCTAGACACTGTGTTATATACACTTAGGGATATTTTGTTACAGAAAATGCCAGTTACTGACCACTACTTATGTTAATACCTTATATAACTGTATTAGTTAGCTTTATAAATTTGTGTAATTCATCTTCTGTATTATACTTTCATGTTCCTGTCCTTGCTTCTACCTTTGGTTTATTTGTTCTTCAAGATATTTATAGTTCCTTGTCATGACCAATATAATATTGCCTTTTACTAAGTAAACAATATGCAGTGAATCCTATGAGAATGTAGATCATTTTGCTCTCCATAAATCTTGACATGGAAATGTGTGCTGCATCTCCAGCCACCAGACTTGGAGTATAAGAATATTTTACAAAAAACATTTCCTAGAAGAACATAATTCCTAAAGTCAAATAAAAAGAAACTGAGATAAACCTGTATAGCAGTGCTTCTCAAACCTTAATGAAACTGTGCATCTCCTAGAGATTTTGTGTGTGTGTGTGTGTGTGTGTGTGTGTGTGTGTGTGCGCGTGCTGGGGATTGAACCAAGGGCCTTGTGCATGCAAAGCAAGCACTCTACTGACTGAATTATATCCCCAGCCATAAGAATTTGTTAAAATGCTAATTCTGATTCATTCCTTGGAGGGCTTGAACTCCTGCATTTCTAACAAGCACTCAGGTGATTCTGTGCTGCTGGGAGATTCCAGATTTTTAGCAACAAGGTCACATATACTTTTCTCCTTCCCCTACTGCAGAAGCAAGTCATTAGTAGTACCCGTTTTATTTACATCACAAACAAAACTCCTTCTTCAAAATATCCCAATACCCAAATATACACACATGGATAGAGTTAATCACCATAATTATATAATAATCATGTATCTATTACCTCCACAGACTGCGCCTTGTTGTTGGCATGAAGCAAGATGTCTCTGTCTTTTGTAGGACTCAGGTTTACCATCAACATCTTACCATCGACACCATCACCTTACAATTAAAATGATAATTAGTAAGGTAATGCAGTTTTCAACCAGCTAGATTTAACTACTCTACCATGTATATATACTTCAAAAATTCATGTTGTACATGAATACCCAGGTTCATTTGTCATTAATTATAAAATTAATAATAAGAAAGAAGATAAATTTTAAATTATAATGACTTGCAACTCATTTTTAATTTAAGTCTTTTTAACACCCAGAAAAGAGTTCAAGATATCAAATAAAATAACTACTTCATTCACTTAAAGATATTTGCACCCAAATGAAAGTAAAAGAGTCATTATTAAATAAGAAGAGGGTTCTTCTGAATTTCTCGAAGGAGAGAGGTTGGTATTTAAAAAATATGCTTTCCAACTGAAGAATTGTGACTCATGGGCACTTCTCTGGGCATCAGCTCCCCTGTCTGCCTATAAAGCTACAGGGCTTTACATGGTTGTCCTCTAATATCTACTTCCTTTTATATATAATAATAAAAGATTTCCTAGCCTGCTTCTCATGGCTTCATGCAGCAATGGACTAAGTTCTTAGGTGTAACTTCTAGTTGTACATTCATTTTCCTCTGTCTCACTGATTGGACATTGCCATCGTAGCTAGGAATATTGAACCATGTAGATGCTGATAGAGCCACAGTGTAGAAGCTGTGTGTCTGGACAAACTTTGAGCAGAACTGCCATTCCAGTCCTGGGTAAGAGATTTTTATTAAATGCAGCCAAACCTTTATCCTAAGTATTAATCTAGAAAATTAATGTGATGGAATAAATTCTCTAAGAATCTAAGATTTTATTGTGAGTGTGGGTTGGAGAGAGCTTTTTGAAACAATCTTTCTTTCCCATGGAGTATTTTGGATTTATCTTTACTACAAACTTAAGAATTTCAGCACTACAAATACCTAAGCCTCCAAATTACCTGATTCGCTTGAGGGGTATGGAGACTCATAGTAGCGCAGTAATACCTTGTCTGAAAGAGAATGCATAAGATCACTTTTGTGAGATACATTTTTATCAAAAGGTTTCAGTTCCATCATATTCATAACATCAGAGAATATCCTCGCCTTTTTATTATGCATCAACAAAAGCAAACATTTCTTGGTTCTGAGAAGGTCTTAAAATTTGAAGGTCTTAAAATTTGCTCTGACAAATTCAACACAGTTATTATTAAATATTTATGATGTTGATAGCAGTGGTATATTCCTTTTGTTAAAGATTATAATTTATTGATATTAATAAGGCTAGAAAGATCTAGTGGGTAATTTAGCAATAGCAAATACATGTAGCTCCTCCTTCCATAGTTCACAACATGTATACTCTTAATATCTATATTCTTGCATTAAGTAATCCTAATTAAACTTCTGAATCCTTCTCAACATAGCGATGTTCAGGTGTCCACTGACAATGTATTAGAATGAGCAAATATAAGTAAATCTATTTGCTGTATCTAAATTAATCCATTGTTGATGGTTTGGTAGATTTATTTTTTTAATCATCATTACATAATTTTAGATAAGGAAATATTCTACCTTTTTCTTGGTCTTTTGGCTGGTCTTCAACATTGGTCACATAATTTCCATCCTCCCAAATAAAACGAACATGTTGATTATTGTATGTACTCAGGGAAGCGCAAGATTCTGTGAAAAAAGAAACTCCTATAACAAGTGAAATTCTTGTTTCCATGGGAAATAAAACTTGTTCTTGGGAATAAAACTTGTTACCATGAATAATTCTTTTGACAAACTGTTTTTGAAGTGTGTCCTCAAAATTTTTTTTTCTTTGCAATTTGAGCTACATTTTGTCATTAGTTGTGAATAGATGAAAGCCTTTGGCACAAAGCTTTATGCAGCTCAAAGGCTGAGGTGTAACACCTGGATGGGATTAAAAGTGCTTAGTCTCCTGAATAAATGCCGTAGGAGCACCTAGAATGTTTATGGGAGGGTTTGGTGGGGAGAAAGAAGCTGAAAAAGTGATGGGAATTGCCTGAAGAAACCTTCATTTTTTGGTTTCCCATGGTCTAGGGAACTGTGGGAAAGAAGGGACTTTATTTTGATAGACATAGGTAAATGAATGCCCATCTACAAAATGTGGTTACTTAGAGAATTTTATAGTCCAGGGGAATTCAGATATAATCACAGTTCTCTCCTTTAAGCTAAATAACAGAGATACTTAGAGCAATTTTCCTAACATTTTTTAATGTCACAGCACACATAGAAAATGATAATATACTTTTATATACCTTTATTTTATTTATTTTTATGTGGTGCTAAGGATTGAACCCAGGGCTTCGTATGTGCTAGGCGAGTGCTCTACCACTAAGCCATAACCCCAGCCCAAAAATGATAATATTTTTAAAGCGTGCAGGGATAAACTGGTTCAGATTTAGGGGGTACTGATATAGGGCCTGCAGAGGGAAAAAATCACTGTATCTTCTTTATGTAACAGAATTATACTAAAAAATATACAAAATATAAAAGAGATTGCTAAAAATTGAATTTATATGTGAACTTGTAAAGCAAAGTGATTTAAAGACCCTTAGTGAGAAACTTCAGTATTACTTTTGTGAACTTAATATGTTTTTATCAGGAATAATGCTTTAAGTGGCAACATGTAATTACTTATCAAGTTTCCTGAATGATGATTCATTCACTTCTTCCCCCAACCCACTTTGGTGCTGGGTATTGGACCAGGGCCTTGCACATGCTAGACAAGTACTCGACCACTAAGCTACATCCCTAGTCCCTCTTCACTTCCTGATAGTTACCAGCAATTTGAATTTATGTGCAAGTAGGTGATAAAATTGAAAACCATTGTAACTTTAAAATATATTATGTTGAAATTATATTTCAAAAAATAATAGATCTTCCTTTCCTTTAATAGACAAAATGTTGAATTTGGGGGAATAATAGATATTTTTCTTTCAAAGGACAATGTATTTCCAGTGGGAATAACATATATAGGATTCCAAATAATGACAAGCATCTCAAAATCATGATGATGTGCTAACTATAGAATACACAAGCATTGTTAGATCAGTTACACCTGTTTGGATACCACTAAATGGGCATATCGGCATCAAACAGAGGTTCTTGATACATATGAAAACAAATTTGGAGCTGCCTACTTGTGTCTTACCTCCCTCCTCCCCACAACACCACCCCTATGACCCATCACACCTCTGATACTTGATGTGTCAAGTGCTCTAGTATTTTCTTGGATCCTAGCTATTTCAAAGATGGAGTGCTCCTTAGCAGGTTGATAGGCAGCAAATAACTGATGTATTTCTTTGTGCTTTCCACCTGTAGGTCAGAAGTTGAACAGGAATGGACCATCAGTCCCCACTCTGCATACATGCCATTTCCTTTTGATGCTTCTAAGTCTGCTTGCTGACAGTGGTAAATGATCCCAGGACTTTGGACACCCCATGGTCTGATGGGATTAATACCTCCTGACATATTTATACCCTAGCAGAGCACACTAGGAGGGAGAAAACTGATCACCTATGGTCTCAACACTCCAAAAGCAATCACTTAGCCCTCTAGTTTGCCCCTTTAAATAAAATTACTTAGAAATATTATAAACTTATTTATATATAATCTTGTATCCTTTATTTTTACTTAATATTATAACATAACTGTATATCCCTCATGCTGTTAAAAACTCTTTATATGCCCCTTTACTCTTTTGGGTGAGGAAGAAATTTATGTATTTAAATATGGTAAGTGAAGGCAAATAGATACCCATTGCTGTTGCCATGAAACATAGTTTCCCTTACCTGTTTTTTGTGAACAATGTTTGGTGATTTCTTTCCTGAAGTAACAGGCCTTCTTTTTTATGGTAAGGCCAGAGCGTAGCTTCATACAATACACATGGCAGATTTCTTTGGTCTTCTGTTGGGATTCTAAACAATGAAAAATTGTTATGTTTTACTCTGTTCATCTTTATCTTTTTGCAAACCCTAAGTGCAGCAGATGAAAGCAAGTATAGATCCACTGTATTTTACCAGAAACTCTTGGAGCCAATTGTGTTTTAAAATTCAGAGATTTTTTTTAGATTTTAGCATTGTAATATAGAACATATATCATCCATATGTAGTACCTTTAATGGGCTGGTGTAGCACTGTTTAGTCAAAAATTAATTAATCTTACAGTGAAATATTGGAAAATTTACAAAAAGTAAAATAAAGATATTCAGATTGGGACTTAATGGACAAATGAATTCAGATCATATGTTGCTGCCAAATGAATTATGAAAAATTTTAGGTTTTTAGAAAACATTTTGGTTTTCAGAATTCCATATGAGGAATTACAAGCCAACATTTAATAAACATAAATTTTTGCCTAAGAGGAAATACATATGGCTATGCGAAATCTGAGATCTAAAATAGATCTACTTACATAAAATACACTTAATAATTTTGCAGGGATAGCTATATTCTATGAAGGTTATTGACACTAAAATAACTAACATCTTCTAAGTGTCAACAGTGGGCCAAGTACTGTGCTAATTATTTTACATATTTCACTTAATTCTTCATAATAATCTTGCAAGTTAGACATTATTATCCCAATTTTATAGGTGATAATCTGAGGCTTTTAGGAGTCATGTAAAATTGTCCAAATTTACAAGGCTGATGAGAAGTTGTGACTGAGGTGTGTCTAATATAAAAACAACTTTTCTCACCCTACCTCCATTTAAGAAAATGCTACACTATTGTTTGAGGTACTAACAAAGTGCAAATTCAAATCTAAAAAAATTGAAGTAGAAAAGTTAATCGTTATTCAGTAAGTCTTACTTAATTTGGCCAAATAAAAATTTGTGCCAAATTTTAAAAAATCAGTTGGAAATTGGAAATCATAACAACCTCTCAGAGTTACACAGAGTGAAAACTAAAACATGAATCAGGCCAGTTGCCATGGCACATGCCTGTAATCCCAGCAGCTCAGGAGACTGAGGCAGGATGATTGTGAGTTCAAAGCCAGCTGCATCAACAGCAAGGTGCTAAGGAACTCAGTGAGACCCCTCTCTCTAAATAAAATACAAAAAAGGGCTATGAATGTGGCTCAGTGGTTGAGTGCTCCTGAGAGTTCAATCCCCAGTACCCCCCCCCAAAAAAAAACCAAACACAAGTCAGATGATCTCAATTTTCAACATTATATAGTAAATGAACCATCAAAAAAATTATACTATATAGTTAAATTTCAATTATTCACAGTAATTCAGAAAAGAAAATAATTCTGACTTTGGGAGCCAATCAAAGATATTTTTCAATTTTCTAGAAGATTTGCCTTCCTAGTAGAATGCTTATAAAGACCTGTGAGTATTTTCACCTGTTTGAACAAGGAATTGGCCACTCCACCATGGAACTCCCTGACTTCTCTTGACAATTCAAAAATATCAGCTACAGTATCTCACATTTATAAAGTACTTTTATAGTTACAAAAATAATTTACAAAGTTAAGTAGTGCCAGAGCCAGCATTGTACTTGCTCTCCTGATAATTTAATACAATACTTTATTAACTATACTACATCATGCCTTCAGAGTTTAGAGGCTTAAGACCACACCAAAACATCTGTTTATTCCTTATATGCTTCTATTTATGTAATAGTTGGCATCACATGGGAACATGGTAGTCATCTCTAATATTGAATGTAGACTCTAGGGAAAAAGAAATGGGTCTTGGGTAATTTGAAGTAAGGGTCATGACATGTACAAGTATTGTGGAGGTAAAAGAAGAAAAGGGGTTAGGAAGAGAGTTAAATGTATGAATGTGTGGAGCTAACATCTAGTGGGACATTCACTAGTTATAATTCATGGGGAATGTGACTACATTTGAAATATTGTAAATACTTTACCTTGGAAGAATTTGGGAGAAGTTATACTTTGGTGCTCTAGGCAGCTGAAAGTGTGAGGGTCGTGTGGGGGTTATGCAGGAGAGAGTGTTCTACTGGTGTCAGGGAACCAGCTCAAATCTACACAAGGGCTATTACCAATTCCTGTGTCTCCATCCTGCTTGCTCTCTGAGGGTAGAGTCTTAGTGTGACTTTTAAGAAAATTCTCATAGCTAATATCATCATTGTAACAGCATGAGTTCCCTAAGGCAATTCTAGTGAGTACATAGGAAGAGGCCTGGAAATCTTTCTGTAGTTTTGGCGCCATGGTTGACAGATTTGAAAAACTTCATCTTTCATTTCTTCCTCAAATACCTATTTCACTATGCTTTTTTCTCATTGCTTCCTAATCTTGATCTCTGTGGCATTTGACTCTGGAGACCACTTCCTTTCTTGAATCCCTCTGCCCTTATTGCTATGTGACTAAGTACACTGGTTCCCTGTGTTTCTTTCTGATCAGTTTACCTCTGTCTCCTTGTTAGTTCTTCCTCTGCCTAAAATGTCAGTGTACCATATGGTTTTCTCCTTTGCCTTCTCTCACTCTAAACTTTCTTTCCAGGCAATCTTGCTTGTTCCAGTGACTTCAAACATCTGCTTAGTGGCTGATGATTCCACAAACTGTAACTTTATCTTTTGTCTTTTTCCTGAACTTTCTTCACAGGGCATTTGGAATTAGCTACCTTCAAGCATTTCTGTTTCTATCTATGTATGTCCTCAGGAATGAAATTATGGACATCTTTACCTGGATGACCTATAGCTCCCTCAAGCTAAAATATGCCAGTAATGATGATGAGGATGAGGGTGATTATAAAAATAAAACACCTTTATCTTTCTCTACCCTCAATATATTTCTCCGGAATCCCCTCTCTTGAAAAATAGTACAACTGTCTACCATTATCTGATCAATTCTTAAATCAGAAAGGTGAGAATCAGAAAGTTAGTATCTCTTTCTTTCTTTCCATCCTTCAATTTAGTCAATATGTAATTAAAGCTTATTAATTTCACCTTTCACATATATCTGGATTGTAGTTCTTCCTCTCCATTTTGTTGTCTTAGGTCAGGCCTTCATCATCAGTCCTCTAGATGATACAGTAGACCTCTAATCAGTTTCCATTTCTCTCTTGAAACTCATTCTATTTTCACACATCATTCCCCAGTTAAACATTTTCAGTGGTTTCCTCTAGTCCACAGTATAAACTGAAGTTCCTTCACTAACAGAAAAATCTTATATGAATAGATTTAAACTAAAAGGGTTGATCTCTACCTAGTCCTGACTAACTGTGTCATGCAGGAATATGGGCCCAGTATTTCTAGATCTTTAGATTTTTTGAGATAACCTATACATATAGATTCTCATGAAAAGTTCCTAATTTTGAAAAGTTGTCTCAATTAAAAACAATACTGTTCAGGCCAATAAATGCTTCTGTAGGCTGTATATGTCCGTGAATAAAGGAGGCGAGCTTGTTAGGAAGAGAAAGTACTGATGAATGTTGGGGAACAGAAGCAGGAGAGGAGAAGGACCTGACCTTGGGGAATATCTTCCTGGAAACTGGAAGGGGAGAAGTTTAGAGAGGGTCTTTCCTCCAGGTCATGAAATTCTCTACCATGTTGGCATCAGAGGTGAAATTTTCCAGGGGTGAACTAATGTGTGACTGGCTGTGTGGATGGATATTGAGTTTTATGGCTTGTGAATTGTGAATTGTGTCATATCCAGGTAAACCAAGGGAGTTTGAGAAAGAAATGAAGTAGTGTGTGTGTGTGTGTGTGTGTGTATGTGTGTGTGTGTTCTTTGTGGCTTGAGGGCTCAGAGCAGAAGATTATTTAGAAAAATAACGTGACATTTCTTGCACTTTTGAGTTTTGAGAAATGGTTCAGATCTGTCATAAATTGCATAGGTCTCTGTTGAATTTTTTACCAAGTGTTTAAATACCTATTATTGTAGTATGGTACTGAGTTGATATTATTGGAAAGGAAATTTTCTTAAGCGATGATAAAAATGTGTTGTATTGCAAAGTCATATTTTGGGATTATCTTTATCACTGTCCTCTGGTGCAGATAAGTAGTTCCTGAACTCATAAAAGAGGAGTTACATTTTAACTTTGGTATCAATACCAGAAACTCTAATAAACCCTACTCCCTCATTCCTATATCTGTAAAGAACCCTTATTTCCTGGGATACAAAAAATACTTTCTTTATTAAGAAGGAATTCGGGGACATGGAGTAACTGTTTTTGCACAAAGCATTTCAACTTAGTAAAGTGATTAATTTAATAATGATTTTTTGGCCAAAACCAGTGTCAAATTAGTGTTTTCCCTGGTTACCAAAAAATAGTGTGCATGGGCCAGACCCTCATGGAGGACAGAAGAGGACAGAAATGATATTCCTTAACACTGTTGTCTCTTCTAGCCTTAAAGGTGTTAATGGAAAGGGTGAGGAGCATAAAGGATAATGATATGCCAGTTGCCATTATCATTCCTTATCCTCCATTTTTTCTCCAGCCCACCAGGGTTCTGTTAACTCTCTTATGTTACTGTTTCCATGTGAAAAAATGAGTGTATAAATTTACATGATTCCTTTTTAGGTAGATAATTTTAAAAATATATATGTTTTAGTTGTAGGTGAACACAATACCTTTATTTTATTTATATGTGATGCTGAGGATCGAACCCAGGGCTCAACACATGTTAGGCGAGCACTCCATCCCTGAGCCACAACCCCAGCCCTTAGGTAGATAATTTTAAGGGTTAAATAGGCATAGAGCCCTTCTATCTCAGAGATGTGGCTATTATTTGACTATATTTCCTTTTTATCTTATTCCAAACTCTCTTAGTTTTTTAAAAATATTTTTTAGTTATAGATGGATGCAATATCTTTGTTTTGTTTATTCATTTTTATGTGGTGCTGAGGATTGAACTCACTGCCTTAAATGTGTGAGGCAAGTGCTCTGCCACTGAGCCACAAATCCAGCCCCTAAACTCTCTTAGTTTTAACTACATAAACATGAGTTTCATTTGGTCGATTCTGCTTCATCTGAGGACTGGATTATTCAAATATCTTCACTTGTTATTCTCTCCTTCATCAGTATTTGCAAGTCAAGACCACATGGTACACCAATTGTCTTCAGTATTTGTTGAATGAAAATAGATTAGTTTAGAATTTTGTTTTTTAATTAGGAAAAGGTTTGGGGATTTGGTAGCAAAAGGTGTGGGGACAATAAAAGGATCAACATAGAAGGCTATAATTTATATTATTCATAAGTTTAAATTATCTGGGCTATTCCTATCTCATGATGTATTAAATAAGCAAAAGTTGGCTGTCATATCTATGAGCTATCCTTTTTAAAATTTTAATTCTTTTATTCTTAGAAGCTTTTGGCAAGGTAACATGTAATCATTGGAATAATAAAGATTTGACACCAGATAAAAATAGTGTAATATAATCAAGAATGCTTAAGTCCTTACCTCTTATCTTGCAGGGTTTTACCAAGGTTCTATCTGCTGTGCTGCTCAGCTTTGCTGAGGAGATTTTGGGGGCTGAATACTTCATTTTAGGCTTCATTCTTTCAGATTTCTGTTGAATTAAGATATAATATTAGTTCAACTTTCTTAACTTGAAAACAATCAAGAACCATGACTAACTCAATATAAAATTGATAACCACATTTTTAAAATTAAGTAAAATTTGAACAAGTATTCTAATTATACTTTTATACTGGAATATAGCCATAAAACAGATAGAACTGCAAAGAAATTTAAACTTTAGTTATGTTTATTATTAGTGGTAATACCAGTATTGAAATTCTGAGATTGTTTAGTTATACTGTAGTACATAAAAAATAGAAGACATATTGATGCTATATGGTTTTCATTGTAGGGGAAAGGAGATACAAATATAAAATTAAAGAAGCCCAAGAAAAAACCCTATAAATATTAAAACTTAATCAATAAACCAACTCCCAGCAATAAATGTGTGCCCATATCTTAGTTTCTAAATATTTCTGCCAGAAGAAATCTCAAGATCTACTCCAGATCTGAGACTGGGAAAATAGTAGTAAACATGGAACATTCTTTGTGCCAGAAAGCATTATTGTTTCAAAAGCATACATGAGCTGCCTTGAAGTGTTTCCCACTGGCCAAATTTGGCATTATTTGAATATCAAAAAGAATAATGATGGTAATTGACTATAAGCATTTAACTCATTAGGTTCCACGTTTTCAGCTCTGTGAATATTTCAACAAAATCAACATAGATGCATTAAAATAGGTTGGAAGTCACAATCTAGATCACACACACACACACACACATATATATATTCCTTATATATACTTCTGTATATATGAAATATATTTTTTCAAACACTTTAATCATTCACCTATTACTTTTACCAAAATAATAGAACTCTAAAAACATAATTGTTTCAAAAGTTACCAAAAGTTGTATATTCATTGCTTAATTTGTTTTCATAAGTGTCCCACATCTGGAATGATGGGACTTGATGGGTTAATAAGAAACCCACAAATATATGGCATTTCTTGACAATGAATGAATAGAAAGGGATCTATTCATTACAGAAGGAATGATAAAACTAGAAAAATCACCATCTTGCAGCTTCCAACTTAATACTTAGTTCAGGAAAGGATTACCAATGGATGTTATACCTTGAACAAGCTGGATTGCATTGTCATATTGAAAGAATATGGAATTCTCCATCATAAATTGTGGAAAGCTTTTTATTCTTTCAATATGATACTACAAGCTGGCTTCATAATCAAGGTATGGCAGTATTGTGGTTTCTGGAAGAGTAGGACTTCTCCAGTTGACTTTGCCTGAAATTCTGCCAATGATTATTGATTTTTTTTTAAAGCATTGAACTCCTATTTTGTTACATTTAAAAAAAAACCCACAAATTAGCTAAGAAGTGGGTATAATTTAAACCTTTTCTAAACTTCAGGTGTATCAGCTCTTCTAGCTGAGTAAGAGAGGAGTCTCTGGGTTAGAGGATTCTTTAGAGGATAAACATCATACACCTTTGTTTTTGTCTGTAGATAACTCTACACAGGTTGAAATTCCAAATTATCTTCTCTAGGTGGAGCTAGAATCTTATATGCAAGTTGCTTATTTATAGTCAGTCCCCTTGAGCAAAATCCTCAAAGGAAGACTCCCTGTTATGCCCCTCAATTTTGTCTTGGAGTGGATATTATCCTTACACTGCTTGAGGACATCAGATAAATCCTACTTCTTTCTCTGATTCTCCCACCTTTATTGATCGAGAATGCTGAGAAGCAGAGAACCTTATAGTTGTAGTCCCTCACCCTACAAATGAGTAGATTGAGATTCTGGAAGATGCCTTGCCTAGGCTCACAAAAACAGCTGTGAGCATAATCTAGTCTATTGACTACCATCTTAATGTGAGCACTTCTCCATTCTGTCTCCTTCCATCCCCATTCTATGGCCCCTCCCTCTTCAAAATGTAGTGGGGGTAGTCAGGGGAAAGAACTGGGAATTTCACTTAAAACACCCAGCTTTTCTTCTACACAAGCAGTTGTCCAACTTCTTTGAAATAATAAATTTCTGAATATGGGATGTGAAACTGAAGAAGCTGTATCTATACTCAAAATCCTGCAGACTGTTTGACCTTGGCTGAATAGAACATCCTGATTGTAGAAATATGGGAATTTTGTAGTTTGAAAGCCCAAATTATCTTGGGCTATCTTAGATTATTTAGATAAGTAGTCATTCACTTTAACCTCTGTATCTGACATAATATGCTCACCACTATTATGTAAACTTCTCAGACTATGTTGTTAAGCTTAGAAGACCTCTAGCCTCTACCAACCCCAAAGCTAAGAATGCTATAACATAATGATATCCATAGGAAAGATATCCCTGCTTTGCTATGGCCTGCCTACCTAACACCGACACTGATTCATTTGTTGAATGTATTAGTTTGTAAAACTCTTTGTTCTTTGGCTGTAAAGTTTATGTAACCCCTTTCACTTTGGAACATGTAATTTCAGGTAATCTGGGCCATGTTCACTTATATTTGGCTCAGAATAAATGTCTTTCTTATTTCCTTTTAAATAGGGTTGAATTTTACATTAACAGTAGCTAGTTTATGACATAATACATGGAATAGTACAGGTTAGGTAATCCTATTATAGTTAAATTTTAAATTACACAGAAAATAGTTGAAATAGTATCCTGCACACAGTAGGTATTGAGGTCACACTTTATTAACATGAAGACTGCATCGCTATGATAATTTTTGTTTGTTTTCTCTTTTATCCAAAGCTACACATGCCCTAGGGAAAAATTATCCTGGTCATTAAAAAAAGTATCCTGGTCATTAAAAAAAATTTGCATTTTCAAATAAAACTTTGTGTTCCAATCTGTATCCTATCTCTTAGAGAACCAGAGCTCAAATTAGTATCATGAAGATGTTGGTAGTCCTTCATTGAAGAAAATCAATAGCTATCTTTATTGACCTAATTGTTTTCAGTAATTAGTTGATATCATAACATTTTTTCCCACCACTATTATTCCTCTGGACTAGCGAGAGAACACCTTTGGAAGAATTCTATTCTAAATCATCATTAGCTTGCATAGTTTAACAAGAAGCTGGAAAACACTGCATTTATGATGAACACAGAGAAAGTCAACACCTTTTTAGAGTTACATAAACCAAAGTATAATCCAGAAATATTTTCAAATGCTGTTCTGAAAAATAACCTACAAACCTTTTACTTTGCTAAGTATGATAACTATTTTTATACTATTTTCACTTTCTTCAGACTCAAATTTGCTCTTTCTTTATTCTCTTTTTAATGTTAGTATTTCAGAACATATTGCAATATAAACACCATAGGTTCTTTTTTGCTGCTTTTTCCAGTAACAGACAACAAATATTCTTGCACACTGGTTATAATACTCACCTAAATCGTAAATGTGAAGGGCTACTCTCAGCTGATGTGGTTTCCTGTAGTCAGCACTTGGTAATAGTTAACGAAGTTACATTCCAATTCTACTTAAATATACACACAGACATGGATTATGCAATATTAGGTGACAGCACTTGATGAATGAGGCAAAGCAAATAGAAGTGGTTGAATAAATTACAATGTGTGGGAATAAATCTTTTTCCTACAGCCAAATCCTATAGAGAGCTTTCAGATTATTGTAGCTATAGTATTTCCAAAGAGTTATGCTTAATTAATTATTAATTTTTATAACCTCCAAGACGTGAACTCTAGGTAGTGTCTCTTCTGGAATACAGAATATACAAGGGCACAGACAGTTTAATTGACTTTCTATTTTCTATAGAAAGTTGAAAACAAGTAATTTTTTTCTAACTACAAAAATGATGTATTTGTACTTGGAAAATGTATAAATAACAGGAAATCATATATGCTGTGAATCTTGACATTTATTTTTCAATGTTAACATATATACAGATATCAGATAAAAATAGTGCCATACTGCAAATATTTTATAAGCTGTTTTTTTTCTGTTTTTCTACTAACACTATATCATGAGCATTTCCACATGTCACAAATGTTCTTTTAAAAGTAACATTCTAAATAACCTTCAATCATATAAATATTTTAACTAGTCCTTTCTTGATTAACATGTTGGCAAGTTCAGGCTTTTCTTTTCTTTCCTTCCTTCTGTCTATCCATCCATTCCTTTGTTTCTTTTTTCTCCTAACATCAGTGTTGCAACCACTAGTGTGTGTGTGTGTGTGTGTGTGTGTGTGTGTGAGAGAGAGAGAGAG